GCAGTTGACTTCTGACTTCAAACTACCATCACCCCACTGTATGTCATATTCGACCACTTCCACAGTACTCACCCCAACTTTCATCTACCTTTGTGTCTGTCTCTTTTACATCTTTAAAACACTCTTCTGTTCCCCCCCCCCTCCTCTCGACTGATGTTCCACTCCCTCTATGAAGCCTGAAATCAACTAAAGGGCTAATGATAATTATCATAAAGCCTGCCATTTGATATAAATAAATAAATACTATTTAATTCGGCATTTGACACCCTAACCCCCCCCCCCCAAATAGTCAAGATCTGCTATCTCTATAATCCGACCTCCACCAAAATAGGGCACTACGCATTCGACTCTCTTTAATCGTCTTATCCAACACGTCACTGTATTTGGCTACCACTGCATCCATTGGCAACTATTCTGTTGATACAGTGACGAATAATGGTTGCTATCACTCTTGCTAATTGCTCGGTAAAACAAAAACAAAGAAATTAAAGATCAAAGTCAAAGCCACTCGACACAACTTCAGTAGCCCCCAACAATTGAATAATTCCGTTCAAAAATTTTGAACGAAATAGGATAAAAGCCAAACAAAATGTTATCTGTTCATTTAAATAGTGATATAACCTCAGGTATGGAAATATTTATCCACCCTATTAAAATAATGTCGCAGGTAACTGACGTTATAATTCATGTTTCTTTCAGCTTGGTTTTATATTAATTTAGAAAAATAACAATTTAAAAATTTCTCCTGTATTTAATTTATACTATTTGATATTTAATTAAAATTATATCCCCGTAAATGTATTTGTTCATTCCAAGAGCAAAAATGGATAATGTAAAGCACAATAATTAAGTCAGCTTTGCCAATATTGGGCAACTTTATCCTGTTTTCGTTAAATTACTATGGACTATAATTTATCATCGAAATTCCTCATGTTCAGAACTAAATTACCTTCACTGATACATTGAAAGTGTAATTAAATAAAATTAAATGAATTTGTACCAGCGCTTCTTATTCCTTCTGTTCAATATGGTACTTGGCATAAACCCATCACTGCAAATGAGCATTTATAAACAGGCGGCAAAAACAAAGTGACGACGAATCAAAGCCTGGTATTTCTTCACTATCACACACACACTTTTTCAAACTCTCTCTTCACCTTCCACTGGCCATTGTTTGTTTGAGTTGACAAATTTATGCGCTCTCACGTCCGTAGAATGAAAGTCTGATTTGTGAAGGAGGCTAGCTATTTCCGGAGTAGGACATAGGGGAAAAACTCAATTCTACCGGCCTTTGATAGCAGGAAAAAAAGAGCACTCAATACGCCCTCATTCGCCGCTCATCTGCCTACCTCATCTTCACTTCTTTCCCTATGCATTAATGGCCTTTTGTTCTAATGAAGAATTTTGCTGCCTCATAGTGTCGTTATATTTCCACATTTTCTTATGGGAAGGAGAAAGAGGATAAGATTGAGTGGTAGAGAGAGGCAGGTTTTTCTCGTTCTTTCAAGAATGACTGACGTCTTGTGAGCACTTGATTGCTCTCCTCTCTACTCTGCCTCCTTAGTAGTTAGTTACTAAGGGGGCGTTGTTGAAGAGAGGCAACAGGTAGTTTTTTCCCCCTCAGAGTCTCCTTTTGCTAATTGAGTTGAGGGGAGGGGCACTTTGAGCACGAAAGAGCAAGAGTCAATTTTCTTTCGGTAAATGTGTTTTTTTGTTGTTGCAAGATTACTTATTGACTTAATTATCAGGCATTCTTTTGTACAATTTGGAATACAAGATAATTTTTTATTTTTAAAAATTTTAATTACAGGTAGTGTTTAAGTATGGCTCATTTGTAGGAGTACGTATGATTATTCAGATGATTGAATGAGCCGGCCTGTGTGAATTACTCCTTAACAAAGAACTCAAGTGAATCAAGGTGAAGCGGTCATTGAACATAGTTGAACGAAAGCGAAAGTAAAATGGCGAAGAATGTACATTGAGACATCTTAGAGTGGGGTGTGCGATAGACTTACCCCCACGTGGTGCATCCTGGGCAACAAAAAAGTCTATTAACTGGCAGTTGACTTCTAACTTCAAACTACCATGACCCGACTGTATGTCATATTCGACCCCTTCCACTGTTTACCATGACTCCACTGTATGTCATATTCGACCACTTCCATGGTACGCACCAGCACAACTGCTTGTCATATTCGACCCCTTCCACAGTACACATCTTACCTTTCCTCTGCCGTTGTGTTTGTCTCTCTCTTTTACATCTGTGAAGCATTATTCTGTCTCCCCTCTTGACTTTTTGTCACTTTGATGTCCCTCCTCTCTGTGAAGTCCGAAATCAGCCAAAGGCCTAATGATAATTGTCAAAACACCTGCCATTTGAAATAAATAAGTAAGTAAAGGACATCTTAGGATAACTTTGGGAAACGAAAGTATGTCAAGTTTTCACAGCATCATGAGTTATAATAATAGTAGTAAAAAGGTGCAATCTAGTAACGCAAGTCCAACCAATGAATGTATAGTTCTTAGATCTTACTTTAGTGGAGATAAATGAGTGGATTCGAAGTCTAGATCTCCTTCTGTTCTTTACACAGATTAGGTCTAAGGTATTTCAATAGCTTTAATGGTTATTTTTTGGCATATTTGCTAAATCGACAAGCTTTAAAGATTAACAGAAATTACATTTTATCCTTTTTTAGTGGTAATTCTGTCAAGCAATTATTTGGTGATTTCCTATAATCAGTTTTAAGGATTCAACTTCCAAACCTTTAATAGTTATTTTATTTATTAAGTTGATATATTATTTTTTATTAGTTTGAAAAAGCCCTAAAAATTGTTGTGCGCCATGTCTAACTACACTGTTTATTAATAATGTAGTAAAATTAATTTAATAAATTAAGCATTTCTCTTGACCCATGGGGTGTTTGTCAGAGCATTAATGAGGAATGCAACTTTGATCGAATCTTTTTATAGTTTGCCTAACTTTCGGAGTCTTAATTTTTAAATTTAAATCTCGGCGATTTGTTATTAAAATTAAAATTATTTTTAACTATATAATGTTTCTGTTGAGTTCATAGACTATCCCTCTTAAAACCGTACTTTGAATTAATAACTTTTACGAATCATTTTTTAAATTCTTAATAAAAAGGCAAAGTCCACACGCTTATTCACTAACATTGTAATTGAAGTAAGTTTAAATGGGCAGTTAAATAACCGAAAGAAGACTATACAAAGTCAACATCTTGTTTACCGCCACCAACACTCATGCCGCCAAGAACACTGTTTGAACTTTGAACTCTAGGATAAGTGTAAACTGGACTGGCCATACTCCTCAATGAACTTCTCAGTTGTTGTTGTCTGCTATTGCACCAGAAACTTAGACAGATGCAAACCATAACGAACAGTGGAATTGAACTTGAGAACAGAGCGATAGCCCAACCTCTATGTTCACAAGACATCCAGACTCGAACAATTTCAAAATCATTTTCAGATCCATCTCCAACTCTCACTTCCAGAATGCTGGGTTTTTCAAAGACGTCCACTCGACAAGCATTGACTCTGATCGCATCACACACGACTGGATCACAAACTGCAGCCTCATAGAGAGATCTCTGGATCTCAATTTGGACAGTGCCTTCAGCGTTTCCTCGAAGTATCAGACGATGTTGGCCTGATTTCTCAATTTCCAAGGAGAGGGGAGTTCGAAGGGTTCGCAGCTGCCACCAGGCACAGCAGGTCTCATGGGCTTCTTGTTGAAAGCCAGCGGTTTCCCAGGCGTACCAGTTTTGATCATGAGCATAGACTGCCATTTGCGTTTGGGAAGGAGCGGACTTAACTGTTAGACGATCGCCTATTGAGAGACGCAGTGGAATTACTGTTGGGGATCCTTTCGACATCTAAAGTATTGAAATGGAGAAGAATAGAAGCCTTTATTCTTGGTAGCTATTGGGAAAAGTTGAGTAAATGCCGAACAGAGCGTTCTAGCCATGATGGTTCTGTGGTCAAGGTTAAGAAGAGATCACCCAACTTCATACTTATCAAAAACTATACATCTCCAGACCTATCCGGGTCTATGAATGTATTCTTCAAACTTACGTTGGTTTAAAACTCACTTTGAAATTCGTCATCAAATCAAAAGGCTTGAGTGCCTACTTTGTAAAATGTTTGAAAACGTATTTAGGCTAAAAGGATGAAAAATGATTGTCTAAACACACGTCTCAAGGTTTGAGATGAAGGAAAATGAGGAAAATATCCTAAACTCGAGCAAAGTTACCCACCCCCCACCCCAACCCCAATGGATTTACAGACGGTCTAACAAGCATACATGCATTAAAGTGTTTAATAAAAGAAGTTATCGAAAACACGGCATCTATATGCCAATCCTCAACTAAGGTCCCAAAAAAATAGAAAATCGAGCAGATTTTTTATTGCCAATGACTCGAATTATAGTGACATTTTAAACACATTATCTTTAGTGGAAATATTTGGAGGGGAAACACGCATCTTAGTCCAAATGTTTTACATAAAATTCAGTCTTCAAATGAAAAGGCTAATCTTTTGAAATGGAAAGTCGATGGAGTGTTTGAATTACTTATGAATATAAATATGAAAACAATTCATTAAAATGAAATATATTCTTCCATTTCTTCATTATTTGTTAACATTTTTCCCGGTTTCATTAAAAAATAGATATCTTCGCAGTTTCAATGTAACTATTGAAAAAAAATATGGTTTTGGTTCTTGAAAATAAGTAATATGACAAAGGTTACTATGGCAAATTGTTGAAAGGAAGGAATTTTTATTATTATCGAATTCATGCGATTTGTTAAAGTGATTGTTCTTTTAGTTGGGAACGCAAGAGCCCTATTCACGAGTAATATCCTCTGGTTTGTGATTATATTTTTAAATCATCATTCTCTGAACCACTAATTGCGAGATCAACTCCAATCAGCTTAAAAAATTGTAAAATTTTTTTAATTTATCTACTATTTGAAACCTATATTTACACAAGCATTGCACATATTAGCGAGGATTGGCAAAATTCAATTATTATAAAGTAAAATAGGAAATATCATATCTAAAAGGCTAATTCATAATTTTTAAAGACCACGTGAGATATTCGTTTGTCAGCTTCAAATTTTACGGGTGTTTTTCAAAATACTAACATTAAAGGACTTCACTGCACAGAGAGGAAATTCCTCGGAGTAAATACAAAATGAAAGTCTCCATCGAGAGGAAAAAACCCTCTTCATTAAAATAACATTCAAGTCCAAACTTCGAGTGCATTTTATTAAGCGGCCGTGTTTTTTATTCTGTTGCAAAGACCAGTGAGTTATATCGCCTTTATTAAAGTATAATAAATTGCTTATGTAAAACGAATCGTCGGTATCGGATGAAACAATGAATTATAATGTTCTTTCACAAAGAGATTAATCAGAGTAATTCGTCGGACATAGTCCCAAAATGCTTGGTTCTACATTCTTTTGTTGCACTTTGAAGTCATGAAGAATGCAACTGTATGTCCTAGGTTGAAAATAGGACACAAAGTTAGAAACCATCACCGCTCTATTATTATCATTTTCCACTTTTTTCAAACAACCTTTAATTAACTAAGTCATTTTTTTATTTCACGCCTAATTTCACATTTCCTTTGCCTCCACCTCCTCCACCGTCGCCGACATTTTTCCCTAACGCATTCACTGAGGTCGCGTGCTACTGGGAACCGATCCGATACAGAAGAGTTCAACAACATGCCCATACCGCCCTTGCTTTCTTACAAATAGCACGCACGCGTGCACTTGTGCGCGCATGCACGCGGACTTTTCAACTCTACTCGGCGGAACTGTTTCTCGCTTACGTTTGAATTGAGTACGCTTTTTTTCCCCAAATGCCGCAATCGTCCTTATGTCTGGAACTTTGATGATGTTGTACTCACGCACGTTTAAGCTTTTTTCGCTGTGCGCGCAAGCGGATGAATTCAAGTAGGAGAGGAGGGGAATTAGATCCCTTTCAGCCAATTTTGCCACCTCTCCCACCCCCAACAATCTCTTGTCGCACACTTTCCTTTCAGGGAGTACCAAAGAGGGAGTATCGCAGCCTACTCCCGAACCTCCCTCCTCCCCACCTTCTCCTGCTTAAATCTGCTGGCGGCACACACATAGAGAGAGAGAGGGTAGATGAGGACTTCCGAAAGAGTTTTTGTGTTTGCTCTTGCTCTTCAAAAGCATGCGCGAAAGGGTGCGACACAGCTCAAAGAGGTGGTGGAGGTGATGGGGTGGAAATCTCTGTATGCTGTTTTTTTTCGACGAGTGTATGGGTCGGACTATTCCGCTGTGATTGCACCACACATGAGTTTTTTCCCTTAAAATAAATGTAGCAAAAAGTGTTTCTTTAAGCTTATTTCAAGTGGAGATTAGACTAATTATCGTTCCAAGTGGACGAAACTCATAACCATTGTTTCGCGCTGGATCTTATCTGCACCCAATTATTCATTTCATTGCGCTATTGTTCGAATTATAGAAATAGCAATCTTTATTAAGTTTTACTTTATGAAAGTGAAAATACTGTTTGCTATTTTTTAATCTTGATAAAACCCCTAAAATCTAAGAGGGAATTGATGAGAAGTTAGCAATAAAGTCAAGATACCAGAGAGACATGTGGTATTTGTCGCCTAGATTCAGATCCGTTTCACTTTCCAAAGGCCAAAATTTCATGATATTTTTCCCTGTATTAATGCGAAAGTTCATGACCACACTATTCAGTGTTTATTAGTTTATTTATTAACTAAAATAATTAGCTTTATAACATTAAGTCCATCTTTTAGCGTTCAGAAGATCGCGTAACGAAGCAGCCACATTATCAGTTCTGCCGCCATTTATTACTTTGATATACAATGAATAGTGAAAAGAAAATTCTAAAATATTATGGTTTTGAAAGGATTTGAGAGTAACTAATGAAAATTAAGTCCTGTGAATGCCTATTTACTTGGGTTAATTTTTCGATTTATTTCTTAATGTTGATTGTCATTTTGCTCACTTGTCAGGATATTCAAGGTTGTTCTAATAGACTTATTGTTCAACCAAGTTTAACTGAGTTGAAATGAGTCGTTTTTCTTGTTAAACTACATGTCGCACTACCGCCTGGTTAATTCCAAGTACATACTTTCCTCTACTACAAGAAAAAGGTCAAACAAACGTTTGAAATGGAAAACCTTTGACAATAAACTTGATATTGGCCTTCCAAATTAAATAAGCTACTTTATAAAAGTGTCTTCTAATTTTATTTTGAGCACGATTCCAACCAAACGGACAGGTCAACTATTTGGAGCTATTCTTTTTTAAAGAAAAAAGAGGCATTTTTAAATATGCCACTAAAGGTAGAAATCTCTGTATCAAGATATAAATCCTTAAATTTCACCTCAATTAATCCTCCTTCTAAATAAGAATAGAAATAACATTAAATTGTCCAAATTGGAATGGCGCCCGGCAGCATTTAGAGCGGGAGGAACTTTGGAAATAAAAAGTTGCCGCTAATTGACGAACACAAAAACGAAAATTCAAAGAATGTTTTGAATACTTAATTTATATTTTGTTTACTCAGAATATTCCTTACAATGATAAATAAAAATAACAAAGAATTGGCATTTTTTGTGCCTCCAAACATTACTTTATTAACTAGTAAATGAACCCCATCTTTTTCCATGACATCAAAAATAATTTTGCTAATTGGGAATTTTTCGAGCCTGGGAATGCAAATTTTTTCAATTACGTGAATATATATATATAATTATATTTTTTTAACAAATTATTTTCAAGTGAAATTAGGCCGTAATATCTGCATCGAAGTTATTGGAATTACGAAGGGAGTCACTTCGTTTGCTTTTTTTCTGCTAAACTAATTAAATTTACGCTTTATATGCTTCCATAAGTGAGTTAAATTAATTAAGAGCACAAATTATGAAAACTTGAAACGCACTGTTTGAGAAGGGAAGTGTGTGTGTGTGTGTGTGTGTAAAATATGCTTAACTGAATCCTCAACATAATTAATAAGAGTAGAAGTGGGCACAATTGCTTTGCTTTGTAAAATATTTTGAAGGACTTCACCACTATGGCTACCATCATATGAAAGTTAATGTATTTTTCAGATTCTTTGCAAAAAAAGAGGAAAATAGGTAAGGTTTGGTAGAAGATAAGGTGATGAGCATTTGGCTTCTCTAAATCGTAATTACGGTGAGCATTTAGACATCGAGGGTTCGCCTAAATACTGAGATTAGACTGGACCAGGTCATGTTCTGTGGTAGGTATTTTCATCAGCCTTGAATAACACAAATATTAGTTCATTTTTACGCCCCAAGAGAGTAGATTAAATTGCCTGAAATTTTCATATTGATTTCACAAATGACAAGCTGAATACTCGACGTAATGAGATATCCAAAAGACTAAAACTAATTGCATTAGCACAATGTGTGTTATTAAAAAGTTTTACCATTTTTCTGAAACAAATATTTTATGAGAAAAAAATTTATTTACCCTTAATAATTCTCATTGTATAGAAACCCTGTTGCTAAATATTTCAACTGATCCAAAGAATACATTTATTCCCACTTCATTCAGCCCACTTCGAACTAGAGTCTCCATTAGAATTTTCAAGATTTTTTCATGGATTAGACTCTTCAATCAGAAGAAGCATAAAAAGAGTTACCATTGTTATAACGAAATTTTATTGTTTCTCATTTTGAACATTGAATAGTATAGCGTAAGACATATTACTTCAGTGAAACTACTTAAGGACTATTTTTAACAACAAAAATAATGAAAATAAAACATAAATATGAAATTGAAAAAATTGAATTCTAAAATACCTGAACAAAGATAATTTTAATTAACTTCGATTTTGT